TTCCATGGTGTATATGTGCCACATTTTCTTAATCCAATCTGTCACTGATGGACATTTGGGTTGATTCCAAGTCTTTGCTATTGTGAATAGTGCTGCAATAAACATACGTGTGCATGTGTCTTTATAGCAGCATAATTTATAATCCTTGGGTATATACCAGTTGGGATGGCTGGGTCATATGTACATCTAGTCCTTGAGGAATCGCCATACTGTTTTCCATAATGGTTGAACTAGTTTACAATCCCACCAACAGTGTAAAAGTGTTCCTATTTCTCCACGAGAGAGAAATTTAAAGCCGGGTTTCCGGGGGAGACATCACATGTTGGCAGGTTCCATGATGTTCCCCAAGCTGTAAAACCAGTAAGTTTTTATTAGCGATTTTCAAAAGGAGAGGGAGTGCACGAATAGGGTGTGGGTCACAGAGATCACATGCTTCACAAGGTAATAAAATATCACAAAGCAAATGGAGGCAGGGCGAGATCACAGGACCACAGGATGGGGCGAAATTAAAATTGCTAATGAAGTTTCAGGCACACATTGTCATTGATAACATCTTATCAGGAAACAGGGTTTGAGAGCAGACAACCTGTCTGACCAAAATTTATTAGGCAGGAATTTCCTCATCCTAATAAGCCTGGGAGCGCTACAGGAGACCGGGGCTTATTTCATCCCTTCGGCTTCCACCGTAAAAGGCGGCGCCTTAAGGGGGCCGTCTATAGACCTACCCTCAGGGCGCATTCTCTTTCTCAGGGATGTTCCTTGCTGAGAAAAAGGATTCAGCGATATTTCTCCTATTTGCCTTTGAGAGAAGAGAAATATGGCTCTGTTCCATCCGGCTCATCAGTGGCCAGAAGTCTTCTCTCTCTTGTTCCCTGAACATTGCTGTTATCCTGTTCTTTTTTCAAGATGCCCAGATTTCATACTGTTCAAACACACATGCTCTACAATTTGTGCAGTTAACGCAATCATCACAGGGTCCTGAGGCGACATATATCCTCCTCAGCTTACGAAGAAGATGACGGGATTAAGAGATTAAAGTAAAGACAGGCATAGGAAATCACAAGGGTATTGACTGGGGAAGTGATAAGTGTCCATGAAATCGTCACAATTTATGTTCAGAGATTGCAGTAAAGACAGGCGTAAGAAATTATAAAAGTGTTAATTTGGGGAACTAATAAATGTCCATGAAATCTTCACAATTTATGTTCTTCTGCCACGGCTTCAGCCAGTCCCTCCGTTCAGGGTCCCTGACTTCCTGCAACAGAGAATGTTGATATTTTCATCAGGTGGACAATGCACTTGGGTCCAGACTGCAAGTTCTGACCATCCTCTATGTTTTGTAGTTCTCATGTCATTTCCATGTGTAAGGGTTTTGTAGTGCTCTTTGGGTCCGTTTCATATATGTGAAAAACAGTGGCCACCTTGGAACTTGGGTATGTTTCATAGTTCAGCTCTTAAAGTCTGTGTATGCTATTTAGGGTCAGATTCATGCATGGGCTCAGGGATAAACCCAGGAGTTAATAAAGAACTTTGACAAACTGCTTTTCCCAGCTTTCCCAGGCTCCTCCCTTTCTGTGGCATTCCTATTACTTTCTGCCCCCTTTTTGGTGCTTCTGCTAGAAAACTGGAGCTTTCCTTGACTTGCTCTGCCGTGTACTTACTGCAGATGTCCCCATCTGGGGTCAAATGGTGAGGGCAAAGAGAGAACCTTGAACCACAGATCCTCCAATTGGAAAGGAAGTTTCCCTTCTCTTCGAGTTTTAGGTTCCTCCTGGCCTCCTTTGCCACCACTGCTGTCGACATGGGATCGGAACTTCAGCATGAAAGAATAGAGAAAAAGGAGAGGGAAAAGGTAGGGCATTGAGCATTAGGAGGCCCCTTTTCAGCTCCTTGAGCTAGAACCAGAGAGCTCCCCCTGGAGGTCTTTGTTGGCATTGATGCCCACCTCTGAGTTTCAAACTGTGGTGGTAGAGGCCAGTGAATAGCAGAGGGGAAAAGTGATTATCTCACTTTTGACTTGGAAGTACTTCAAATTCTGGTCATCTTCCCCAATATACCTGCTACTATTTACTTTTCCAAGTCCTCAAATAGCTGCCCAATGCATTCCATCCAGGATTTGTGGCTGCGTTCAGTGGGACAGACAAGATGGAGTATGGTTACTCCATCTCACCAGGAACTGGAAACCCACTACACATCTTTGAGTGGGAGAATTAATGTGCTCAAAATTCAGATTTTAGAATAGACTGCGGCAGTATTTGAATAGGGTGAATTAGAAGGGCTGAGATGGGAGCCCCTCGAAACCTGTAATAAAAACTAAAAGGGCCAGGCGCCGTGGCTCATGCCTGTAATCCCAGCACTTTGGGAAGCCAAGGCAGGCAGATCACGAGGTCAGGAGATCGAGACCGTCCTGGCTTAAACACAGTGAAACCCCGTCTCTACTAAAAATACAAAAAATTAGCCAGGCGAGGTGGCAGGCTCCTGTAGCCCTAGCTACTGGGGAAGCTGAGACAGGAGAATGGCGTGAACCTGGTAGGCAGAGTTTGCAGTGAACCAAGATCATGCCACTGCACTCCAGCCTGGGCGACAGACCAAGACTCCGTCTCAAAAAAAAAACCCAAAAAACTAAAAGTAGGCCAGGCGCGGTGGCTCACGCCTGTAATCCCAGCACTTTTGGGAGGCTGAGGTGGGCAGATCACAAGGTCAGGAGTTCGAGACCAGCCTGGCCAATGGGGTGAAATCTATCTCTACTAAAAATACAAAAATTAGCTGGGCATGGTGGCCGGTACCTGTAGTCCCAGCTACTCGGGAGGCTGAAGCAGGAGAATCTCTTGAACCCAGGAGGCGGAGGTTGCAGTGAGCCGAGATTGCACCACTACTGTCCATCCTGGGCAGCAGAGCGACACTGACACTCTGTCTCAAACAAACAAACAACAACAACAAAAACCTAAACAAAAGTAATAAGAACTCAAACTAGTGGGACAAAAGTAGCAATGCAAAAATGGGGGATAGTGAGAACCAATGCAAGATATGTTATCTCACACCCACTATCCTATGGAATAACATTAATTCAGCATCACTGTCCAAATGTTACAGCCAGAAAGAAGACCCACATGGGGCATTGCTAATCGTTAAGGTCAGAGCTGGGACTGATTTTATTTATTTTGAGAAAGTCTCACTCTGTCGCCCAGGCTGAAGTGCAGTGGCACAGTCTCAGCTCATTGCAACCTCCACCTCCCAGGTTCAAGTGATTCTCCTGCCTCAGCCTCCCGAGCAGCTGGGATTACAGGCATTTGCCACCACACCCAGCTAATTTTTTGTATTTTTGGTGGAGACAGGGTTTGCCATGTTGGCCAGGCTGGTCTCGAACTTCTGACCTCAAGTGATCAGCCTGCCTTAGTCTCCCAAAGTGCTGGGATTATAGGCGTGAGCCACCATGCCCGGCCCAGAGCTGGAACTGACTTTAGAGATAACTTTATTCAACACTCAATTTTTTTTAGCAGTTTCATTGGTATGTAATTTATATACCATACAGTTCATCTGTTTAAAGTATGTAGTTCAGGCCGGGCACAGTTGCTCACACCTATAATCCCAGCACTTTGGGAGGCTGAGGTGGGCAGATCGCTTGAGGCAAGGAGTTCAAGACAAGCCTGGCCAACATGGTGAAACCCTGTCTCTACTAAAAATACAACAATTAGCTGGGCGTAGTGGCAGGTGTCTGTAATCCCAGCTACTCAGGAGGCTAAAACAGGAGAATCACTTGAACCTAAGAGATGGAGGTTGCAGTGAACTGAGATTGGGCCACTGCACTCCCGCCTGGGTGATAGAGTGAGACTCCATCTCAAAAATAAATAAGTTAAATATACAGTTCAATCTTTTTGATATATTTACATAGTTGTGCAACTATCACCGTAATTGAATTTTAGAACATGTTCATCCCTCCAGAATGAAACCTTATACCCATTAACGGCCGCTCTCACCCCCACCCCAACTCCCTACTCCACCTAGCCTAGGAAACCATTAATATGTTTTCTTTCTCTACAGATTTTGCCTATTCTGGACATTTCAAAATAAATTGAATCATAAAATGTTACCTTTTGTGGATGGCTTCTTTCACTTACATAATGTTTGGGAGGTTCATCCGTGTAGCAAATATCAGCACCTCATTCCTTTTTATTGCTGAATAATATCCCATTGTAGGGATAATGCCACAGTTTGTTCATTCATTCATCAGTTGATGGATATTTTGGGTTGTTCTCACTTTTGGGCTATTACGAATAATGCTGCTGTGAACATTTGTGTACAGGGCTTTGTTTGGACATGCTTTCACTTCTCTTGAGTACATATCTAGGAGTGGAATTGCTGTGTCATATGGTAACTCTGTATTCAATTTTGAGAAACCACCAAACTGTCTTCCACAACAGCTGTACCATTTTACATTCCCACTAGCAATGTTTGAGGGTTCTCAACCCTCTCATTGTGCCCGGAAAGGTTGATTAACTTTCCAGGTTCACACAGTGGATTGGTAGGACTAAAACCCATGCCTCTTAACTCATAAACCCATGTGGCAGTTAGTGACAGAAATAAGAATAAAAACTGCAGTCGACTGAAAGAAAGCCTTCGCTAATTGAAAGATTTCTACCAATTCAGGAAAAAGAAAACAGTTTTTTATACTTATGGAAGTCTTCTCTTCAGATATCACTGTTTCTTTACTTTAATCAATTTTCAAAATTGAATTTCGTAAGTGATTGCAATCACTGTTCTTTGCTCAGATTGTCCCCAAAGTCTATAGCTGTTCTGGCCCCTCAGCCTAGACCACCGTGAGTCTTAGAACTCTGGATCAGGAGAGCTCATCATCAGTCCAGCTCCCTCATTTTGCAGATGAGAAACTGCTGAGCTGTGGTCTTAAGGATCTCAGCGAACTCTGGTACCCTCTTGGGACACACACGGGGCTCTAGCACCCTTCCCTAAAGTGTTCTCTGTTCTTCTGCCTTTCCCTCCAGGTGCAATATCAGCTACTTAGAAGAATGGCTTAAAGATAAGAATTTGCAGAACAGCTTAGCAAAGGAAACGTTGGAGCCCCTCTCTCAGGCAGCCTGGTTGCTTCAGGTCAAGAAGACCACAGACAGTGATGCTAAGGAGATCTACGAACGCTGCACCTCACTGTCTGCTGTACAGGTGACTGGACTTGCCTGGTGTCTCCCTGGCTCTTCCCTGACACATCAGTGCAGTGGGCATTGCCTTTCTTGGCTTAGCCCGCTGTGGGCACCCTGGTTCTGTGTGTTCTCTTGGGATCATACCTATCACCCATGGCCCACCCTTTTATCTATAAATATTTATTAAATACTAACACTAGGTCTTAAACACATAGAAATGGGCTGGGCGAGGTGACTCACAGCTGTAATCCAGCACTTTGAGAGGCCAAGGTGGGAGGATTGCTTGAGCCCAGGAGTTTGAGACCAGTCTGGGCAACATAGCAAGACGCTCTACCAAAAAAAAAAAAAAAGCTGGGGGTGATGGCACACACCTTTGGTCCCAGGTACTTGGGAGGCTGAGGCGGGAGGATCATGTGAGTCCAGGGGTTCGAGGCTGCAGTGAGCCAAGATCACGCCACTGCACCCCAGCCTGGTCAATAAAGGGAGACCCTATGTCAAAAATAATAATAATAATAATCACACACACATACACACAAATCTCTGCAATGCATTCCCTGCCCATTAAACTCACAAATGTGTATGTGGAGGGGTGGGCATGTGGGAGGTGGGGAGGCTGGAAGGGGCTCCTCTTACTGAGGTCTGATTATCTGATTTGCCTTTGCTCCCTATGGCACTTTTCTCCCTTTGTTTTCTTTTCTTGGAAATAGGTAACATACAGTTCCTGAGCCAAATTATAGGCCAAAAGAACCACCTGTGCTTCCCAATGGTTCCCAATAACCAGAACCATTATTTTATGAACAGAGTTATTATTTTGCATGGTCTAACACCATGTTATGTACTGTTTGCAGATCATAAAGATCCTTAATTCATACACGCCTATAGATGACTTTGAGAAGAGAGTGACTCCATCCTTTGTTCGCAAAGTACAGGTGAGATTCTTAAGGATGTGCCTTTTAATTTTTATCTCCTAACTATGGTATAAGATGTTGATATTTAATTAACATTACAGAAATCCAGGATTAAAGTACATTTACCCACATATACAAATGGAAGGCACCTAGCTCAAAGATAAGCAGGAAATTTTCCTGTGAAATTTTCAGAATCCACCTTAGTCCAGGTGGGAAGGGAATGAAAACACCAAAACCATGATTCCCATGCTGTATTCTGTCAATATATCTTCTTTCTTTTTTTTTTTTTTTTTTTGAGACAGAGTCTCGCTCTGTCGCCCAGGCTGGAGTGCAGTGGCCAGATCTCAGCTCACTGCAAGCTCCGCCTCCCAGGTTCACGCCATTCTCCTGCCTCAGCCTCCCGAGTAGCTGGGACTACAGGCGCCCGCCACCTTGCCTGGCTAGTTTTTTGTATTTTTTTAGTAGAGATGGGGTTTCACCGTGTTAGCCAGGATGCTCTCGATCTCCTGACTTCGTGATCCACCCATCTCGGCCTCCCAAAGTGCTGGGATTACAGGCTTGAGCCACCGCGCCCGGCCAATATATCTTATTTCTTACTGATCTTTGAATACCATGCAAGTGGGCAGAGGCTGAATGGAAACCGAGATGATTTTTCTTTTATAATCATTTGTATAACCATTTTTTCTTATATAATCCCTAAAGTTTCTCCCCTAAGGAACGCTAGGGCAGCAGTTCTCCAAGTTTGGCTCAAGGATCCCTGGGAGTCCTTGAGACACTTTGAAGAGGGTCTGCAAACTCTTCCTTTTTCTGAATACGTACCTGTGGATTTTCTAAATAGGTATCTGTGGATTTTCTAAATAGATACCTGTGGATTTTCTTCATGTATTTCAACCAAAATAACGTATCACAACAGATTGAATGCAGAAACGGATATATATGATATGTTATATATATGATAATATGACATATATATTAAAATATGGCATATATAATGTATGATTATATATGATATATTAAGCAGACATTAAAGGGATTTGCAAAAATAGAAAATACCACTTCTCACTAAATTTTCTTTGTTTTGGAAACTTATGTTTAACATGTATTGAGCTTATTTTAATGAATTAATAAATCATTTTAATTACTAATATAGCAAATACTGATAGTCATACCCATATACACAAAAGCTTTTGGGGCCTTGGTAATGTTTTAGTATAAAGCAGTCCTGAGAGCAAAACGGTTGCAAACCCATGAATGAAGAAGAAAGTTGGGTTCAATAAAAATGTAATACTTAACATCTACTCATGTTTGACCTTAGAATTATGCTGATTAGAATAGATTAGAATATAAAACAGATTTATGGTCAGCTCATCCCATGGGAAATTAACTTCTGAAGTGAAACAGGCAAGTTAATTGTTCATGAGAGCTGATCTGGAAGCCCTGGATAGACTTTGGAATTGTGCTGTTGTTAAAAAGCTCTCATGTATGTCATTTCACATGATGGTGCAAGGATTTCTCCACTAGAGATAGTTGTGTTTTGCCTTGACTTTCAGGTAGCAGTAAAGCAGAACATGTTAGTTTCCTTACTCATTTTTCCTCTGATTCTGATTCCAGGCTCTCCTAAATAGCCGCGAGGATTCATCACAGCTGATGTTGGATACCAAATATCTCTTTCAAGTCACATTTCCTTTTACCCCCTCTCCACATGCTCTGGAAATGATTCAGATCCCCAGCAGTTTCAAGCTAGGCTTTCTGAATAGGTTATAGCAGTAGAAAAAGTCAATGCACTTTTTCCTCAAAAGCTAAGTGAAGGTTCACTATGAGGGATGTGGTTTATTAATTGGCAGTGGAAATTGGAATGTGATTTAAGGAAGAAAATAGACTTTTCTCAAATGGACCACATCATCTCTCATCCACAGTGACAGTGCTGCTGCTGCAATTTTGTAAGAATTCACACACACCAGCTGTAGTTGGAAAAACCATGTCTCACTCTCAAATCTCAGCTGGTTTTGACTGAAATTCCTGGAGGGCTTATATTTTCTTCCACGTGCCTCTTGATCTGTTCTGTGTGTGGCAGGGCTCTACCAGGAGGGAGTGAGATCTGGGGACACAGTGGCTTCCAAGTTTTCTAAGGTTCCTGTGAAGCCTGAGTACATTTACAAAGCTGCAAGTGGATTCCAGGGCTCAGTCTTCCAGGAAATAATCCCATCTGGCCACCATGGCCTGCCAAGAGCTCTCTTGCCCCATGCCTGCTGGGGGCGGAAGGTTTTCATGAATTCGTTTTAATGAAAATGCCCTGCACTGAGAAATGTTTATTTTAGAAAAGTGAGCCAGGCATGGTGGTGGGCGCCTGTAGTCCCAGGTACTCGGGAAGCCGAGTTGGGAGAACAGCGTGAACCCGGGAGGCAGAGATTGCAGTGAGCCGAGATCGCACCACTGCACTCTAGCCTGGGCGACAGAGCCAGACTCCGTCTCAAAAAAAAAAGTTTATTTTAGACCCTTCTAAATTTTTTTTTTTTTTTTGAGACTCCGGAGTCTAGCTCTATTGCCAGGCTGGAGTGCAGTGGTGTGATCTCGGCTCACTGCAACCTCCGCCTCCCAGGTTCAAGTGATTCTCCTGCCTCAGCCTCCTGAGTAGCTGGGACTACAGGTACACGCCACCACGCCCATCTAATTTTTGTATTTTTAGTAGAGACGGGTTTCACCATGTTGGCCAGGATGGTCTCGATCTCTTGACCTTGTGATCTGCCCCCCTCAGCCTCCCAAAGTTCTGGGATTACAGGCATGAGCCACCTCACCCAGCTGACCCTTTTAATTTTTAAGAGAGTGTTCAATCTGAGATGAATCATATGAAGTATTTTTATGTGTATATCTATTTTAAACTAATATATTATTAAAGCGTAATTGCCGTGCCATTTATCTTCTCTGAAAGAACTTCACATCTTACCTACCAACATATTCACCATAATTTTTTTTATTTTTTAATACCTTTCATACAATAACTTTAAAAAAAAATCAGTTTAAAAAGGCAACCTAAATTATTTTCTCTCTCTAATCAGCATTTCAATGTATTTATTTTTAAATTTTCTCCAAAAGTAACTAAAAAATTAGGTCGGACCCTCCTTTTGAGAAATCTATGTTTCCCAAGTTTTATGGGAACTGGCTATTTCTTGTCCCGGCACACCTTCTCATTCCTTCCTTTCAGAGCCTAAAACCTCATTTGATAAGCACTCCTAGTCTCTGGCCTGTGGATCCAGTGCTGTTGTGTTACCAACCCAAGAATCCCAACTGCACCTTCTGCGTCTAACAGTCACAGGTGATAGCTGTGATTCTATAATACAGACTAGTGTCTTAGAGGTAGCAATAATACAGGATTATGAAGCGATATCACCCTGCTAATATGTAATAATATCTTTTCATATTATAAGTGATTGAGTTTAGTTCATTTCAATATATTGTACATGAAAAAATGAAAAGTAGAACTTTGTAATGCTTTAATCAATAAAATTAATTACCAAATGAATTGGGTCAGATTCTTTCGTTGCAAGGAGATGACATGTCTCTTAAGTGCACAAGTTTTATGCCTTTCTTTAGGGTCACACTGAAAGACGCTAGAATCTTTACAGATCCATAATATCTCATTTAAAGTATATTAAAATGTGTAGAAAGGAACTAAACATGTCACAGTGCTGGCTCAGGCTGTGTCTCCAGGGTGCTTCCACACTGTGTCAGAATGAGGGGCTACTTGGTAGAGAATTGGCTGGATTTCTGATCCTGAGCTGTGACCTCCATGCCCTTTCTAGACCTTCCCCACACCATGAGGAGCCATCACGGTTGATTTTCGGCTTCCATAACTCAGGATTTATGCCTGTTTTACAGCACTTACCCTGGGCTGGAAGCCAGAAATGCTGCCCACTTCCTCTGTAGGCCTGTGAGCCCCAGAGGGCAGGTACCACATCCTCTGCATCCCTGCCTTCATCCTACTGCTGATGAGGTGGGAGAGAACCGACGGAGCCAAGTCCTGTTGGAGGACTGTGTGTGTGTGGCGGGGAGTCAACCATGGGACAAAATAGGTCATGTTTGGGGACAGGGAGACCTGTGGAGGCTGAGGAGTTTATGTGTGGAAACATGGGGAGAGGGAGGCGCTCACCCCACAGGTCTTGATCAGTTCTACAAAGCTGACAGCGGCAAGGAGACCAAAATAGAGAAATGTTAAGAACATGCGGCCCAGGTGAATGTGAGGCCTGCTCAGTGAGTGGGCGCAGACACAGAGGTCAAACCTGCCAAGGTCTCCCTCCACAGTGGGGCTGGGCAGAAGGTTCCAGGGGTGAGTGAGGGATGCAGATGGCAGCGCGTGCCCAGCAGGGAGCATGGAAGTGCGGTGGGGGAAGAAAGCAAGCTGAGAAGCACTCTGAGAAGATAAGGAGATTAACCGGTGGGAGAGGTGCTTCACACCTCAAGCTGTGCGCCAGTCCTCACCTCTCACCGTCTGCTCTGTGGCTCCCAGTGGCTGGACTCTGGAAGGTACGTGCATGCTGACATTTAGTTAAAATACTCCAGCTTTTGAAGTGCTCGGAAAAGCATCCAGATGAGTACAGGCCACAGTGTTAGCAGGTCTTTGTGGTGGGAGCATGGGTGAGGGGTTTTGTTGCTGTTAATCTGTAAAATCTAATTTTTCTACAATACACATGAATTTATTTTGAAACAGTAAAGTGTTTTTTACATTAATAGTGGCATCAGGAAAAAGATTAAGCATACTTAAAATCACTAAGTTAGTTTTAAAATTTGATCCAGGTGACACATGACAACATAAGCCTCTGAATACAGTTTATGGGGTTAGAAAAAGGTTTTTGACACAGAACATTTTGTAGTTGTAAGTCTGAGATACATCCACATTGTTGTGTGTATCAATTTGTTCTTTTTTACTCTATGCTCATTTCACAATTTAGTCTACAACTGGTGAACATTTGGGTCTTTCAAGTTTAGGCCTTCTATGAATAAAGCTGCTATGACATTTATGTGTGTGTGTGTGTGTGTGTGTGTGTGTGTGTGTGTGTGTGTGTGTGTGTTTAAAGGAAATAAGCATTATTTTCCGTGGCGTATGTATGCAGGAGTAGAATTGCTTGGTCATAGAATATATCCATTTCACTTTATTAGCTCCTACCAACCAGTTTTCTACAGTGGTTACAACTTACACTCCCATCAGCAGAGAAAGGCAGTTCCAGTCTCTGCATCCTTGCCCACACTTTTGTGTTGTCAGGCTTTTTAAGTTTCCTGATGGGTAAGTAGTTGTATCACACCGTAGTTTTACTTTGTATTTCTTTGATGACTAATGATAATGAGCACTTTTTTATATGTTTATTGACCATATAAGTATCCTTATTTGTGAAGTGACTACACAAGCCTTTTGTCCATTTTAAAAATAATCTTTATTGAGATATGATGTCCACATGTTTTGTTTCATGTTTTAAAACCCATCATTTTAAAACATATATTTCAGTGTTTTCTTAGTTTATTTACAAGGATTTGCAACCATTGTCACTAACTCCAGAGTATTTTCATCACCCCAAAAAAGAAATCCCATACCCCTTAAGCAGCCACTCACAACTCCCTCCTTCCCCCTTACTCTCTCTTCCCTCCACCTCCCAACTACTCATCTGCTTCCTGTCTCTACGAATTTGCTGATCCTGTACACTTCACATAAATGAAATCATACAACATGTGGCTTTTTGTGTCTGGCTTCTTTCATAGGATAGCGTTTTTAAGGTTGGACCATGTTGTAGCATGTGTCAGAATGTCATTCTTTTTTGTTGCTGAATAGCAGTCTACTGGAGGGATAGACATTTTGTTTATTCGTTTGTCAGTGGACACTTGAGTTGCTTTCACTTTGGGCTAATAATGCTGCCATGAACATTTGTAGGTGCATTTTTTTTCTTTTTTCCTTTTTTTTTTTTTTTTTTTTGAGACGGAGTCTCCTCGCGTTGCCCAGGCTAGAGTGCAGTGGTGTGATCTCGGCTCACTGCAACCTCCATCCCGTGAGTTCAAGCGATTCTCATGTCTCAGCCTCCCAAGTAGCTGGGATTACAGGTGCCTGCCACCACACCTGGCTAATTTTTGTATAGTAGAGATGGGGTTTCACCATGTTGCCCTGGCTGGTCTTGAACTCCTGACCTCAGGTGATCTACCCGCCTGGGCCTTCCAAAGTACTGGGATTACAGGCGTGAGCCACCACACCTGGCCAGTGAACATACATTTTCAATTATCCTGGGTATATATCTAGAAGTAGGATTGTGGGGTCATATGATAACAGCTGTATATTTAATGTTTTGAATAACTACCAAACTGTTTTCCACAGCTGCACCGTTGGAAAATGGATACCCCACTTTACCTTTCCACCAGCAATGTATGAAAGTCTTTTTGTCCATTTTTAATTGAGTTAATGAAGCAGTATTTTAAAAGTAAAAAGTGGATATACCTTATGTATCCAAACACAGGAAGTTGGTTTAATAAATTATGACACTCCATAGGATAGAATAATGCTGAACCTATTACCAAAAAAGGTAGATCTATAAGTGTTAACAGAATATGTTAGACAAAGAAAGCAAGTAGCCCTATTTGCATGACTACCAAAGCTGTATCTATGTGTTTGTGCCAGAAAAGTCTGGAAGAATAAACAACAAACCAAATAAGGGCAGTGAAAATGCAGGGCATGTGATGGGGGATTCAAGTTTTACTTTCTCATCTTTGGTATTGGTTCTTTTTAAAATAAACATGTATTTCTGTGGTAATTTTTAAGCCATATATTTAGGTAAAACAGATATCAAAGACAGTTTGTGCTTGGCATAAGGTTATTAGGGGAAGGTTTGAGAAGTTCTATGAACTCCTACTGGAAAGCAACTTCATGTCAAAATTTGTTAAATGGGGCATTTTTGTCTTTCTTGTCAAAATGTTCATCGAAACATTGGCTCTAGCTGTGAAAAATTCTCTCATCATAAAAAGGATTATTGACAATAAGTACAACAGAAAGTACTAAAATTAAATTTAGCTCATGATATAAATACTAAGTGAAAAACATCAAGATATAGAAATGTCATCAGTATACATGAACAGTATGACCTCTGTGGTCTCAAATCTATTCTTGCATACACCAAAATGTAAAAAGAAGTTTCTCTGAGTCGTGGGATTATAGGTGATTATCTTCTTCCTTATACCTTTTTTCCCCCAAACTTTCTACAATCATATGTGTAACATTTACAGTTTTAAAATGCTTTAAATTTAGTTTGTAGCTTGACCATGTTTAACCAGTGAGGTTTAAAATGCTAGCTATGTGATATGACTTAAGGCCCATATGACTCAAAAATTGGAGTGTCCATTAAAAAATAGTGTTTTCCAGGAATATGCAGTGACGCGA